CTAGATCTGAAAACGATGTTTGACCAGGCCAGGGCGCTCGACTCTGCCATGCGCAGTTCAGAGAGTTACTCTGTCCCTCAACCTGTCAGCGTTGCAGCCTCAGCACAAGAAATGACCGCTCAGAATCCAATCCAAGTCGACTCTGCTCAGTCAGACTCCACACTCGCTGCAATTGATTCAAAGTGCTTCTTCTGTGGAAATCCTAAACACCCTCGTTCCAAGTGTCCAGCCAGAGATGCAATTTGCAATAAATGTCAAAAGAGGGGACATTTTGCGAAAGTCTGCCGAAGCAAGGCCTCTAAACCCAGCGAAGTTTCAGCTGCTCTCTGGCCACCTACTCTTGCCACCGTAGGAATTCCCCAATCTCTTAAAGGATCAACTGCTACTGTTGTTGTCAACAAGGTCTGGAGTGTAGAAGCACTCTTTGACAGCGGAAGCAGTGAAAGCTACATACATCCAAGCCTCGTTGAAGTAGCTGCTATCTCTGTTAACCCTTCGGTCAGCCAGGTCTCCATGGCAACATCTTTGTTAAGTACAAAGACCGAGGGCTCTTGCTCTGTTACTATTAACTACCAAGGTCAAACTTATAAAGACTTTCGCCTGTTGGTTATGCCAGGGCTTTGCTCTGATCTGATTTTAGGACTCGATTTTCAGTCTCAACATGATAGTGTCACATTCAAGTATGGCGGAACAAAACCGCCGCTGTCGGTATGCAGTCTCACTACTCTGAACATAGAGCCGCCATCACCATTTTCAAACCTCACTGCCGACTGCCATCCTATTGCTACAAAGTCCAGGCGCTACAGCAAAGAAGACCTGAACTTCATTGGCAATGAAGTAGAACGGTTGCTCAAGGAAGGCATTATTGAGCCAAGCCGGTCCCCTTGGCGGGCACAAGTAGTTGTCACAAAGGATGAAAATCACAAGAAACGCCTAGCTATTGATTATTCCCAGACAATCAATAGATTCACCCAACTAGATGCTTTCCCGCTGCCGAGGATCAGTGATACGATCAACGAAATAGCTCAGTACAAAGTGTTCAGTACCCTTGACCTCCAGAGTGCGTATCATCAAATACCTTTAAGAGAAGATGACAAGCCTTACACTGCGTTTGAAGCTAAAGGTGGGCTTTATCAGTTTACCAGGCTTCCTTTCGGTGTAACCAACGGTGTAGCCTGCTTCCAAAGAGAAATGATGAGATTTGTTGAAGATAACCACTTGAAAGCTGTGTTTCCATACATCGACAACATAACTGTATGTGGAAAGGATCAAGCTGACCATGATGCTAACCTCATATTATTCCAGGAGGCTTCTCAAAAGGCGAATCTTAAATTCAACGACAGCAAAAGCGTCTTCTCTGCTCAACGACTGCCGTTACTGGGATATGTCATTGAAAATGGTTCTATTAGTCCAGACCCCGAAAGATTAAGGCCTCTACTGGAGCTCCCACTGCCGCAAAGCTCAAAGGCTCTTAATAGATGTCTGGGACTTTTCTCTTACTATTCTCAATGGGTTCCTTGTTTCGCCGACAGAATTAAACCCATAACCAGCTGTAGATCATTTCCTTTATCTTCTGAAGCACAGAAAGCATTTGAAGACTTAAAGAGGATCATTGCCAAAGCTGCTGTCTCTGCCATAGACGAGAGTATTCCATTTGAGGTGGAAACAGACGCCTCAGATGTAGCGCTAGCCGCTACCCTAAATCAGAAGGGCAGACCTGTAGCCTTTTTCTCCCGCACCCTTCAAGGTAGTGAACTGAAACACTCTGCTGTAGAAAAGGAGGCTCAAGCAATAGTTGAGTCGGTCAGGCACTGGAGACATTTTCTCACCGGGTCCCACTTCACTCTAAAAACGGACCAAAAGTCAGTTTCCTACATGTTCAACCAGCGTCATCAAGGAAAGATTAAGAATGACAAGATAATGCGCTGGAGGATTGAACTGAGTTGCTATAGCTTTGACATAGAGTATCGACCAGGCAGAGATAATGTAGCACCGGATACCTTCTCACGAGCCACGTGTGCTTCTAGCGTCAGTGATGCTCTCTACAAGCTCCATGATTCGCTCTGTCACCCTGGGATTACCCGATTATGGCATTTTATTCGAGTCAAGAACTTGCCTTATTCTCTAGAAGATGTTAGGAGGACTGTGAACTCCTGTCCAATCTGTTGTGAATGTAAACCGGTATTCCACCGCCCGGACCCAGTTCAACTTATAAAAGCTACCCAACCCTTTGAACGAATCAACATTGACTTTAAAGGGCCACTTCCTTCCAACGACAAGAACAAATACTTCCTGAATGTTGTTGATGAGTTTTCACGGTTCCCGTTCGTTTTCCCTTGCCCTGATGTGTCTACTCCGACCGTTATAAAGTGTCTCACCACATTGTTTTCTCTATTTGGTATGCCTGCCTATGTGCATTCTGACAGAGGGGCTTCGTTTATGAGTCAAGAGTTACGGGAATTCCTCTCTAGCAAAGGTGTATCTACAAGTCGTACAACCAGTTATAACCCCACATGTAATGGTCAAGTTGAGAGGTACAATGGCACTGTATGGAAGGCGATTACAACGTCTCTTAAGTCAAAGAAGCTTCAGGCAAAACAGTGGCAATTGGTCCTGCCAGATGTGTTGCACTCGATCCGTTCTCTTCTGTGCACCGCAACGAATGAGACTCCGCATGAACGTTTCCTGAACTTTTCACGCCGTTCATCCACAGGTAGTTCGATCCCCTCTTGGCTGGCTGAACCTGGCCCTGTTTATGTAAAGCGTCATGTACGACACAGTAAGTTTGATCCTCTGGTTGAAAAAGCTGATGTTCTCCAGACCAATACTCACTACGCTCACGTTCGTTACCCTGATGGCAGAGAAACAACAGTTTCAACCAAGAATCTTGCTCCTTGTGGTCAAGTGGAACTTCTAGAACCACCCTCTTCAATCCAGCTCCCAGTCGTTAAACCCAATATTTCTAGTGAGTTTTCTCCCGTCAACGATCATCATGTTGATAAGACGCAAGAACCAACTAAGGAACCAGAACCCACAGAATTGAGGAGATCACAGCGAGAGCGCCGCCCTGTAGATAGGCTCGATTTATAGGAAGGGGTGAATGTAGTGACAGTCAAACATTGGAAACTTCATTTAAGTAACTTTACCGGTACTCGTAATTTACATTGTTAATGTTATTGTTAATCCGGGATACCGATACCTTTTAGTGCCCGTCAACACATATGTCAGCGGACTCGTTCTGTGAAGACGCCATTTTGTGAAGTATATGTAGCACAAGGTTTTTGTAGATTAAAGCCTTTAGAAACGAGGCCAAACGTTTGTTTAACTATCATAACAACTTCCACGTCTTTTTCTCTTTTTTTCTTAAGGTGACATTCAAGGCCATTAGCAGGAGACTGGTATCCTTGTAGATATTGACCATGATTTTATTAAAGCACCGCTTCAAAGTGGAAAGCCGATCGAGTTTTACGTCGAAGAGTGCAATAAAACAAAAGGTAATGATATGAATGAGTTTTACCAAGAAAATAATTTGCCTACTGTAACTTTTTTTATACAACGTAAACGCAATATTTTCAGAACTGAAATAATCATTAATCCGAACATCAGTATGCATATTCTTCATATTATTCTCACACATTTTCTAAGGTGCTGACAAGGAGAATTTGTTTAACAATCAAGAGCTGCGTTAGTTGGTGATTATTTCCTCTAACATTAATATGCATATTCTCCACACTATTCTCCATACAGTCCAATTATAAGCCTGACGCCTATACTTTCCCACTAGAGATCAAATCGGGCTGGTGATTGCCAATCATGTTCAAGAATTTTGTAATGGTTTTGATTAGCCAATGTAGATTTAAATTAGAAACAAATTATCAAATTTTGTCAAGGCATTTTTGTCAGCCAATCTCTCTGTTGGTAAGATTTTTTTAATTAATTAACGTTTCCATCAAAAATTTTTGTTCTTTTCATATTCTTTTGAAGTTTTATCTCTTGGTTTTATACAACATTAAAAGGAAAGACGCGAGCGCTCATTGTGGATCTTTGCAGGTCTCCTGGAAAGGAAGCAATGATAATGGGAGGGAATCAAAGCGTTTTCTTTTTTAACGTCCGTATACATTACTCACTATCGCTGAACTTTACAGCTTACCAAATGCTGATCGATAGTATTATCGACATACTAAGGAGGTCCACTGGTAATGAGAATGAAAACGCGTTGAGTAGCCGGGCACTTTCCATTTGGTGAAATAACGCGGCTATAGCGCGGAGCGTTTTGAAGACTCTTTCCTGCAAGTGAACTATACCGAAAGGAGATTCTATACCAATCAAGTAATAATACAAGTTGAAATATTATATTCCTTCATCGCAAACATGATCAATTCTCTTTTGCTGAACAATGAAAGGACGTATTAGGACGCGCGCGGGTCAAGCAAATGTACTGAGAAACACTCATCAGAAAACTTTGTAACGGAGACCAGTCTTCGCAATCTTCATTTATCCAGAGGGGGCCACTTGATGGGGATCAGTAGTCGTCAACATAGTATAAAAGGGGAGGGGGGTACCACAGAAAATTGATTGTCAATTAACTGACAATGAGAGGGGAATCATAAGAATATTATAAAACCCGTCTGGGGGATATCAGGTAAATTTTTACCGTGACACCGTGACCAAAATCTTCCGAACTCCTCCCCCCACTCACCCCAGGTTGTATACAATGACCGGTCTCTAAACTGGGGATACACATTCAAGACGACTGCGTCAATGAATGTTTGGCATGTAAAACGATGGATGGTTGGCATGTGCACCCCAATTTTTCTTTTCCATTTGTTTCAATTCCGTCTTCCAGAGGACTTTGTGATAGAATGCTAACTGACACTTGACATCAAAAACTTTGCCATAACAACTGAAAAAATCATGGGACTGAGGATTGCGACAATGTCTGTTACGTAAACAAACTATTAATGTTTCAAATTTGTTTATAACATTTTGCCTAATTTGTCTCATCTCCTCCTTCCTCGCCTTCTTTGTCTACGATTCAGAGGAGGTGGTCTGTTTGCGAGAGCAACAATTTGCTTCTGAAGCTCGACAATTTGTTCATTTTTTTTTTCCATTGACTGCCGCATCTGCTCCATTGACTCCTTTAAGGTTTGATTCTGCTGGACAATTGCCTCTCGATCCTTTCGCAGCTCCTCCATGTTTGCTGTCAATATATTGTGCATTTGCTCCCTTTGGGCTTCCATGTCTGCTTTAAACTGCTCTTCCAAGCGTTTCCTGTCTTCCTCTTGCTTAGCTTTCAGAATTTCCATCTGGAACACAAAACAAAGTTCGATAATTGACATCTAAAACATTTTTAAGCTTATGTCCACTCAATCTTTCAATTGAACTGGAGCATAGGAGAAAATGGCAATTAATCAGACTTAGGTGGGCGGTGGAATAGGAACATCGGTAGAATGGTATTAGTATCGCACAAACATGGAAGTAACCCACGAAAAAGTGATCATGGATGATGTGCTAACACTTTGTATGTTACCTTCAAGTAACACCCGTGTAAAGTAAAGAAACAAAGCAAAGACAGCAAAAAACAACAGCAACAACGGCAACAAACAAAATCACCCAATAAACCAAAAAGCAAACGAAAAAAAAAAAAACAGATACGAGGAAACCCACCTCTTTTTCTTTTGCACGCCTCTCCTCTTCCAACCGAGCATTCTCTTCCTAGAGTTCAATCATAAATCGTTTCGCATCATTGATATAGGTTGCAATCGGTATTTCAATGAGAACCAACTTTTGCCGCAAATGCAGTGGGATTTGCAGCATATTCCATAAACCATGTTTTTACCATTACTATTAAAATTTTTGTAATCACCAATCGTCATCATTATTATTACTAATTTTTACATAATATACATAATCTGCACAATAAAGTAAAATTTCAGACGATAAATTGTGCTTTAAAAGCTTTATATAATTTTAAAACTGAGGTAAGAACATACAGCAAGAAAAACACGACGCCTCCGACAAAGGCATGATACCAAATCCTGCTTTTGTTTTTCCAATGTTGGCGCTTGAGGCAAGTTTGTACAATTACCATTAAGCTGCTCTACTGTAACTCCACGCTCGACAAATGTTTACCCTCAAAATTTTTTGACACAAGCGTAAGAAAACAAATTTAGGGAGACTGATCGAAATAAAAGACATAATCAGGTAACACGTAGGTATGTGCGTGGGCAATAGTATCTCTTTCGCTAATTATTAAAAGTGTCACCTCTATTCGTTGTCTCTCCTGCTCCTGACGAGCCTTTTCTTGTCTTTCGAAAGCCAAAGACTCGTCGAAGTCTTTCAGCTGTTGTAGATACGCCGTGTGTTTCTTCATCTCTGCCTGCATTTCCTACAATGCCCAAATAAGAGTTTAGAAGACTTATTTGGCTTCACGAATAAACATAGGGATTTGTAGGGATATGTCCTATAACTTAAATCCGATTATTCGTTTTGCCGATGGTTTGCCCACTACTTTGCTTATATCTTGCTCGACTGCACTGGACTGATTTGAACGTTTTCAACTGATCAAAACAAATCCCACATACACCTACCGGATGAAACTCGTAAAACACTTGAGCGCAAATGTCCTTGGCTCCCTTTGCGTCACGTTTAAATCCCTGTTCAATTGCTGAGTAGCCACCAATGATCCGAGCAAAGCTCACTGATGCTCCATCCTTGCCGCTTACCTCCCTCAGAATGGGGTCCAAGTGTTCTTTTTTCAAGGCCCTCAGTTGCAGTCGTACCATGAGCTCATCCAAATACTTCTCGCTACTCGGGGCGGAAACTCCAACAGTTTCTTCCTGAAAAATCCTCATGCTTTCTCCAATAGCTCTTTCCTGAACCTGACGAATGTTATCGCTGTCCCAAGGCAGTAAACCATCCAGCTCTGACGTCATTACACTTTCATACACCTTTAAGGCGGCAAATTTCGCCTCAGTGCACTTAGTGTGCACAAAGGTCTCCCACGCACTCTGCACACTGGGTACTGTGCCAGGAGTGTTCAAGGCAGAAACGTAAATATTAACGAGAGCTGCCAGAGCTATGATTATAAAAAGATAAAAAATTAATTTCAGTGAAAAATTATATTAAATTCATTGCGTAGTCAAGATCAAAGGGAAAAATAATTTACGGTCACTAAATATCTTTGACGGGTATGACAAAGGCGGGCTTTCCATCTCAAATTTCGTCTCTTTTGTACAAATTCTACAAAGTTATAAAACGTTATAAGCTTAGATTTTATGGCATTTATGAAAAACGCAAATTTTTGAGCTGTACTCTAAAGATTCACACTCAGAGCTATTTTTTATAATCAGAAACTCTGGACATCTGCCCCAAAAAAGCTGTCTGCATCTATGATCAATTTTTCTGATGACTATTTTCCATATAAGGCAAAGTCACAAAATAAACGGAAAAAAGGTGTCCTTGCTTGACATGAATGACTCTGAAGGAAATGATCCCAATTCAATTCCCAAGGCCTTTTCGTTGAAAATAAGTTATGAAGGATCTGATTTTCATTTCATCCTGGATTTTCAACTGGGCCGTGAGAGGTCATACTGTGCACTGCGTCCATTCCCTTGATGCCATATACTCATTAGAAAGTTTCAATTTAGTTTGCCTGAATTAAGTAGATTCAGGGCGCAGGAGGGGGGGGAGGAGGAGGGAGGGTAAGGGGGAGAGGGCTGAGGAATCCACCTACCTTCACCAGTTACGTATTCTCCATCGTTAAAACTACGCTTAGGTGATAGCTTAGACCTAAGTAGTGCATTGAACTCCTGAACTCCTCGGACAAATGACTTGTTCACGTCTTGCTGCACCTCGTCTCTGTTAAGGTTCAACACCACTTCCGGGTCTGATGAAGGCGGAGGAAGCTTGAAAGCGTCAAACCCAGGAAAGAAGTTCAAGATACTCTCTGCCACTTGATTTGATTGGTCGTCTTTTGAAGTTGGATCGGACAAGAAAACCTAGATGCAACAAAACTAACGTCAATTGAATTGCTTCCGTATTGAAAGATGACAGCCGTACTTCAGAACTGAAAAGCAACTCTTCGTAATGAGCACTGTAGCTCGTGAGCGTGTGTTTTTCCTTCCTCTCTCTACTGTTCAATCTGTTAAAACAATGAAACTCATGCCAACGATCCTGAGTTTTCCTTAATGGCATTATCCAATAAAAGTACTGTACAGTAAAAGTGGAATTCATGCCTCAATGACATAACACTTATTAATAAGTTACCTCGAACAAATTGGCATAAAGTTATCCTTGAAAACAAACTTTATAAACCCACCCTTGTCAGGAAGTAATCCTTGATGCTGTGACAGTCCTTTGGAAGAGACACCACAACATCTCTTAACAGCCAGACGAAGAAGGGAAATGTTTTATGAAATTGATTTGCATCAGCTTGCAGACTTTCTCCACCAAGTGGATCACTTATTTGTGCTGACGAACGAAGCTGAATTCGCTGAGAAAGTTTCACGAAGAAGCTGTGATCAATGTTAAGGATTCGCGAAAAAATGATAGAAGAAATCATCTGACTTGCATTTTAAATAGGTAGACAATACAAAGCTACCCCTCCCATATTGAAATCCAGATCTGTTAGATATCTATGCTCTTCACTGCGACGATGTCAGTGGTTCACAGTGCCTAGCTGATCTCGTGTAACAGTAATTTCTCTCTCTTTTTTTACACTACATTTTCGTAATTCACGCACTTCGCTCGATTTGTCTCCCGAGACATTGTTGCAGGAGGTCAGAAGATCTCTTCGTAACCAATTTGATTTTCAGGACGTCATTTACAGTGACTTAGAATTGCTATTTAAATCATACAAAGAAAACACTTTTAATAGCTAGCTCGATATGAAAAGTGGGCCGTAAAAAGTGGTAGAAGATTTAATTATAATATAGAAATTATCCGTGTTGGCACCAACGTGGCAAAGAAAAAATATTTTTCTACCTTGAGAAAAATAATTTCATCCATTTCGTTTTCTCTTTCAAATGCTTCTTATTCGACGACTGAGCTTAAAATCTTTCGTCTTTGACATAAAAAAAAACATCTGACTTCCTCGACCTTCTGACGTAGTCAATATTTCATTTTCCGTAGAAACTCAATCAAGATGCCTTTATCTAGTCATCTGCAATACTGAAACTGAACTAAGAGTGAAAGGAGGTCATTACTCCAGATAAACATCTATTCTAAGGCTCACAAAGCAAAACCTCTGATTAAGGATACTCTAGTCCGTCAAGATCAGTTCTGGTCGGTACACCAGCAGAGTTGTAAATCAGTACCGAAGCCAGAAGGATGGTCAGTGTAAAAATACAGTGATCGTCCGATCCATCACTTGACACGGCGTCTATGCCTTCAGAGTCAAGCAAAACCACTGTGAACTCCTTTCCATTGGAGTCCTTTTCAGAAAAGAAAAAGAAAAACAAAAATAGAACGATACCGGAAATGGAAGAAAAATGTACCCGAATTTGTTTCCTTTAGCTTCCAGAAATGGAAGAATATTGTCGTTTATTACCTTATATATCTGAAACTAGATGAAATCATAATTACATTACATCATAAAGAATTGAACTAAATGTTTAATTTTCAGATGAAAATAGTTGGCAGAAAAATTGTAGTAGATCAAACAAAATAGTGACGAAAGAACGGACTCTGACTTAAATTCACCTCAACAATCGAATGCTATTTATTGAAACAGCCAAATTTCAGAAGACTGTAAAGAAAAACCATCATAAGTTTTGCAGGTTGTGGTGTATATCTAAAACCCAGGAACAGATGTAGACTATGTTTCTGTCAGGTCCACTCTTGCCGGCTGTGCAGGTTTGTGTCCTGACTTTCTAAATTTTCAGGCTAAAAATTTCCTGCATATCTTTCTTTGCCCCTTAATCTATTTTTCCGATTGAATCGGTAGTTAAAGAGTTTGGGTATTTTTCGTCACCGAATCTGTTGTTCTAAAATACCTTAAACTTATCTGGAACAATCCACATCCAGATTCCCATGGTTTCCGGATCCAGAAAATGTCCAAGAGGAAACACTTCTCCCTGATCGAATGATTTACTCAAGATGTACGATTTTCCTTTGCGACAAGGACCAGCGATGGAAACCACGCATACTGGACCTGAAGAAGTAAAAGAACAGGTATTGTTGACCCTGACCCAAGTTTATTAACGAGAGACAACGATAAGAGAATACTATGACCTGCATCTAATTTCTCCTTACAATATCATCCCCGAATTACACATTAAGGTCCCGAGAATAAAGGAAATGATCACTTACTAAAGAAGCTCTTGATGTTTAAACAAATTCTCCTTGTCAACACCTTAGGAAATGTCTTAGGAACAGTATGGAGAATACTGAGACTAATTTAAATCGGAAATATCTAAAGCGTTTTATATTTCTTTTTTTATACTTGGTCTGGTTCGTTTCATTTTCTTCTTTTGTTTTCTTTGTTTTTCTCTTGTTGTTAAGTAGTCATCCTCGATGTGTCAATCATCTTCTCAAAAGTCATGCAGTATTCTATTTAACAGATAGATTCCAAGTTGCCGCGCGTCTGTTCAGTAATAGATTACAGATGACGTCAAAATGTGTAAGAACAAAAAAGTGGCACACGAGGCGCAGCCGAGTGTGTCACTGATGTTCTTTCCACATTTGGACGTCCTCTGTGATCTCTTACTGAACAGACGCACGGCAACTTGGAATCTATTTTTTTATATAATAAAGAATTAAAATATACGGAAAAAGAGTTTTAATGATGACGTCATCTATACGTCTGTCCTCCAATAGATCATAAGTGAGAACCAATCAGAATGCGTACATAACTGAGCTTATTATACAATGAATGATAACTCTACCTTTGATGCTCTTGAGCCTCTCTATGGCTGCGTCAATAACACAAAGGCTTTCTCTGGGGCCAGCGCTCTTGCTGTACTCCCCTGTCTGTGCGTCCCATTTGCAGTTGTTTGGAAGACAAAGGGGAACTGCACGTTGTTCAGACATTGTGGTTTTAAAAGAAGGTGGACTTTAAACTTCTCTGCAAAGGAACATGTTAAGTTTGGTGAGAAAATGGACGAGTGGGAAATGTCTATGATAATGATGATCATGAAAAAAGTACGCGCTTCGGATCGGCTGAAAACGAGTGCATTCTTATGCACTTTTTTCTTGGGGGGGGGGGGCTGGGGAATTTTGGTGTTTTTTCCAAAAGAAAGTGTTGGCCCTCCCTCATGTTTTGATTAAAAAACTCCTGACCCCCCCCCCCGTTTTAGGTGACTGACAAAAGTGTGACCCTCCCCTCACTACCACATGGTATGCTCCATGCCATAGAAACCTCAGAACATTTTTCGACATTTTGCTTGTAAACGCAAAATGTTTGAATATGAATAAATCTCGATATTGAATATGTGCGCGCTGAAACAAGAAACACTACCACAGACGCTGACATGCAGTCAGTAACTGAAGCAAGCGATTGTAGTTTTAGAAGGTATGAAGGGCTGCGTTTGCGTTCTTTGAAGCAGCAGGTTACATCTGCAAACGAAAATTGGGGCGGAGAAATGGAAGACAATGACAGAGATTTGGGAGTCAGTGTTTATGAGAAGGCAAACACTCTCTTAGAGAACATTGAGAAAGCCAAATCTGAAATGTGGAAAGTCAAAAGCAAAGAATTTGAAAATACACTTAAACCTGTGGTAATGCAATGTCATGACATTTTGAGGCACATTGCTTATTTTCAACTGCCACCTGTGTATCCCTGGATACTGGAACTCACTGACACCGGTCCTGGAGTTGGCGTATCAAGTGCCGAATGTAGGTGGCGTTTACTTGAAAAGGCAAGAATCCATAACAGCGACAAAGTGCTTGGAATCCACCGAGCAAGAGAGGATTCGGGCCAAAACGAAGCGGAAAGGCTCAATGCTTGCATAGGAGACGCTCTATGTGATGGAGGAAGCCTCAAGTGGCAGATCTACAAGCCGCTTCATGGTTTGTCTGTGGATGAGATTAGTTCTCCTACAAATTCAGAGCTTGAAACCCAGAGGAAAGCAAACACGGAAAAAAATGCTTGGGCTGTAGCAGAAAAAGTAGTTCGTCGTGTTGATGATGCTCCGGCACCACGGGGATACATGTCAGCAATGATGGTGGATAAGCCAAAGGAAATGATTTTCTATAACCGCGATTTTATGAAGCAGTATCACGATGCTCAGAACAATAAGAAAAACATTGTTCCAGGTCATGGATATTTTGCTAAACTAGTTTCATTTGAAGAGGCGCACTGCGAGAAAGGGGAACTGTACATGGAGTACAGAAAAATGTCTTGTCAAGAGAAAAACGGCGAGCTATGCGAATACTGTCGAGCAACTGATTTTCTAAGTCCCACTTTCGCTACACCTACTGCACGACCTTATCCCGATTACAGCAAACTTCCTGACTTTCACTACCTACCAGGTACGAAAACACCAACGACTGGCCGCAAACCTGATGATTATCAGCCTAGAGCTCAAATAAAACAGATGTTTCAAGAGGGTACGCTCAAAGCCGGGGATAAAAATGCGATCAAAGATTTTTCTGAAAAATATATTGTTTCAGAAAAGCTAGTTGCAGACTATATTGATCATCTGACTGACATTGAACTAAGAAAAGATAAGCGGAGAACAGAGAATGACAGAAAGTGTACAGCAAGAAAGCAACAGGAATACAATGACATTGACTGGCAAGATCTTTGTCACAAAAACCAATTGTCAACCCTAAGGGTAGGTGAACTTGAACTGTATATTAATCATCGCAATATTCTATTTAAAGGGAAGAAAGATGAGAAACTGAGGGTTGTGAAGGCTCATATTGGCAGTAAGATTTTGACTTCAATTGTGCAGGAAAAACAGACAAACATTCCGCTAGCCTCAGACTCAAATCCAGAGTCTGACAGTGACAGTGACAGCGACAGGGTAGAGGGCATTGTCTGATCTTCTAGTAACTCTTCAGAGCTTAATGACTCAGGAGATCAGGCAGCGGATAGACAACAGCTGGAACAAGAAACCATACTCGAGTCAAGTACGTCACGATACGGACGGAAAAGGACACGAGTACTCCGAGAAAATTATGTGCCATGGAATAATAAACATGTAGACACCCAGTAACCTTGTAAAACTAGTACCTGCACCGAATTAAAAGAAACAAGTTGAAAAGAAAAAACTTAGTCTGTTAAAGAAAAATGGAAAATAACATCATAAAAATCCCCATTAAAAATTCTGGAAAAGGTGTGACCCTCCCCTTGAATAGCTGAAAAAGAGGGTATGGCCCTCCCCTTTGGTGCTCATTTTCACTGATGACCCTCCCCTCTGAGGCCCCAACCCTCCCCTCTGAGGCCCCAGCCCTCCACCCCCCAAGAAAAAACGTACCTTCCCTAACATAACTAACGTATCGAAGATAAAATAATAAAAATGAAGGAACTATCGCTTACATTGCAATAACGACCGTAACATGGAGGTGTCAAATATAATCGGCAGATTATTCCAGAGGTTGACTGATCTATTCAAATCCTCTTTGACGGTTGCCATTCTCTCATTAACTCAAGTCGGGCATTTTAATAGCTTCGTGCACTGTAGATGCCTTGAATTTGTCTCTCTTAAGTTACCCTTTCTGATCAGCGTGAGTTTTCAACAATCTCGCCTTCTAAACAGAGATTGTACTGTACACTTTACAGAGCGTTGTTTAAATTCTTCGCGTTTGTGTTTAGACTTGTTTTTAAGCAAAAATTGTTCCGGATATTCATGAATAAACATTCGTACCAGGACTGATCGTGGGAAAATTTCAGCGCCTTTTGTTTTGCTGACGGTCGGGTCACGTTATAAGTGAACCCCATCGAGTTCGAATCATGTCATGACAATGCATGGGCACGTGCGGAAATAAACACTCATTGTGGCAGTGGAACGTTTATTAGCATTGTCATGCGCGAGCTCTTTTCGGCGGGTCAGCCAATGAGCTTCGACTGTTCCCACGGACACGGTTTAGAAATTACAATGGTTTGTCTGTTTTTGCTTCATGAAGTTTTAATAAGAATCATACGATCATACTGATCATAACGAAGGCTGGACAATCATTCATAAGCCGTTCTTTAACTTGGACGATACCTTCAAGTTAAAAAACTTTTTTCGGAGATATGGAGCTAATCAAGCGCGATTCCGAGCATACAAAGAAAAACTAACTAAACGATTTAGTAACCATATAGGCCATTTGATAGGTGATAAAGTGGGACTTAACTGAAACGAATAACAATAGAAAAAGCCAGAGAACTAAGCCTGAGAACAAGGAATCGATTACTTATTTGGTTTGCAAACCCTGAATTTGACTCGATAGAATAGATGAGTAACAGTGTAGAGAGAAACTAGGGCCCAATGCCGAGTAGAAGTTGACGCAGTATAATCTATACTTGAACTGAACTAACCGGGTAAAACCTCGTAAATATATCTAATCAAAGAACACGCAAGCCAAGCCTGCCCTCGTGAATATATCTAATCAAGGAACATGCAAGCCAAGCCTAGCGATAATGACTATTTCCTGGCAGCTGACGACTGGTCAACCACGGCAGATTAAATAAGTAAGGCCTTGTTTGAAAGTGACAATTACTTGATAACATCTATGGTATAGTAAGTTCCTGCGACAAGAACCGAGTTAACATCACGCTACAAAACCAACATTTGTTAAACAACGAGTAACAATCTTAGTAAGGAGCGACTCCTAAGAGCAGTACAATACTTGTCGTTAATAAAATTAATTTAGCCCACCACAGTCTATATCCTAGCTCACCACTGACACAACCTCACTGCTGTCTCCCAATTTCCTTGAAATGAGCAATCTTCCGCGGTAACTCTCTGGGTATAACTTTCAAAACAGTCGTCGCTCTGACAATAACAACTACTACTACTACATAAGTGAGTCTTTCTACATTTTTTCACAAACTGTTCTGAAACATTCCAGAAGCTTTACATCAGTACTATTTTAACAGTATTACATAACAAGTGCATGACTTGATGAAATGTTCTGGAAAGTTCTATGGTATGCAAGTCAGCATGACTCAGCAGTCTGGAGATTTCTAGAAGCTTATATTTACAACAGTCACTCATATCAATACTAAGCTTTGCGTGACAGATCTTTTCGGCCTGATCAATGTATAAACATCTCTAATGTTTTGGTTTCTCGAAAGTTTTTCAGATTTTGGGAATTTTGAATCTACTGGATTTCTCTAGAGGATAATAGGTAACCGAATACAATTTTATTTTGTGCCAGATTTGAAATTTCCGTTTGCGATCGATCCATTTAAAGCGTTCTTTTTGAAGTACATCTGAGACTTACATCTGTCTTGAAGAAAAGTTTTCGTTAAGAATTCGAAGTAAATAATTTCAGTTCCTTCGAGTCATCTGTGATGTTGGAGCAAGGTTAAGTTTATTGATAGTGACCCCCACGAGTACACACGTACGGTCAAAGAGGCTACCATTTAAGACTTCATCCCAACAACATCAATAGGAATAGTGGAATCGAAATTCCGAAGCTTGGATACCCACAATCAAACAACCTAACACCCGATCAAAGGGGACCTACGCGGGAACACCATCTAACAATCGGAATAATAGCGAGGATCGAAATGCACCGATAGCAACGAACGAACGTGCTGCAAGTAGCGACACGTAAACGATCAGCCTCGTCGCCTGGTGAAGACTAGCACTGTTGCAGTCGAAACGTCGCGATCAACATCAAAAGTGACTCCATCGTGAGACAAACGAATGAAGTTCATATCCTATCTGTAATGTTTTTCATGAGATTTATATCCTCCTGAAAGTGGTCTGTGCTCGCATTTTACATCTGTAATTTACTAACCAAAGAAACAGTATAAATCTAAATGATTGCAGGACAGGTGTACTTGCAAACGCCGTTGTAGTGTTTATGTACCTCATATTGATTTTCACTTCGCCACTCATTTGCACTTGTCACAGTTAGAGAAAGGTATTCTTTGCGAGTCGAGTAAGATTTTAAAGCAACTTTGACCTTATTAAACCTTGGGTAACTCCTTTGTATTACGTTTTACTCTAACACACTTTGCGGAAGCATTAAGGTTTAACAAGCAAGCCACATAGGTGAGCCTCAACATACCTCAATTTACTCGTCTATACAGCAGCGAATCAAACGACACGCTTCGGGAGTTTCTTGCGGTAAAATGAATCCAAAAGTGTTGTCCTTTGAAACAATGATGAGATGGCATTCACCTTCTTATTCCATGCATGCGCAGTACTGCTTTATCAAAGGGTGTTTCCCCGAAAGGTAATTGACTCCCCGAAATACCTGAGGACATATTACAATAGCTAAAAATAGCAGATGTTAATGCCACTATCATGCACTGGTGGCCTGATCACTTTTCTATGAAGATCCAAAGGCCAAAACGGAAAACTTTCGTTTTCGAATAAAGCTCCAACTATTTCAACGTAAGCAGGCTTAAGCCAAGTGACAGGTAAGCTGTTTCATTTGAGGATTTATCTGTGCAATTGCGAGTAATTTGCTTTAAAAATATGCATCAAATATTTCAAATCAGAGCTCTTAGATCGTGACTTTGAATTAAGCTTAAAAATATCCGTTTTTTTAGACATGCAATAATGTTAGTAACTGATGCAGCTTGTAACAAATTCAGGGTTGGGGTTTTAAAGGGAGATAAATATCACCGTTTAATGTAATCTTCTTAATTTCTTTTGCGTAGTGGTTATGGTCATATCCCGCTATTCCGTTTTGCATAAACATTACTGAGAATTCGTTCATTTCACATGGACCAGACTTTCTGCTTCAATTTACCCCGAACTCAAGGAGAAAGTTCATCACCTAAACGTTTCCTGGATAAGAGGAATCAATTTGTCTCATAAATATTTGCTTTTCCATCCGTTGTAACCTTTCTGAGAAAATCATTTCTGACTTGCGGCAACTCCAACGCGTTTGACGGCACTAAGAATGACGCCATCTATAAGAGGAGCTAGACATTCAAGCCGAAGAAGATGAGATGGATGAAGAATTTGATGCGGGAAGCGAAGATGGGCCATAAGCCTCGAACGTGTAGTTCACAACAAAAAAAAAAAGGCTTCTTTAGGAGCCACCACATATTAAAAGGTAATGACCAATAAATTTTGCTTTTTTGTCTTTGTGTTTTGCTCGGCTTTTTTGTTAAGGTTAATAAACTCTCAGCTATAAGCCGAAACCCCCTACGAGTCAGATTTTAATTCAAATTAGGTTAAACTTGAGTTAAAATAGCTCGGCTTATAGCCGATAAACTATGGTAGGTACAGTCATGTAGTTCTTTGTACCCAGATCGTCCTCTTAAAGTGATAAATCTCCTTTGAAAAGGCTGTAATGGAGAATTCCTATCGCCCAGTTGAAGTCGTCAGGGTACTGATGGCTCACAATGTATTTGTTGTTGTTGTTGTTGGTTTGTGTTCTTTTTTTAGCACTGTTTCTAAATCGCTGTTGGATATTTTGCTCTTGTGGGTAGATTTATCATAATTTACCCTGTTTATGGCAAATTCACACAGTGATTAAATCGAAAATCGGGGCAAAGATGGCTGTGGCAAGTCAGAAGGATACAATCCACTTAAAGGATGAATTTCACTGAATTTACCCCGTTTTTCTATAGAATTCACTGATTAAGTGGAAAATCGGAGTAAAGATGGCTTCGGCAAGTCAATGGGATATATTCCGCTTAAAGGATGAATTTCATAGCATTTACCCGGTTTGAAATTCTCAAAATTTCAGCGAGGAAATCTTTACGATCTTCTTACACTTTTTCCTTGCTTCTCTCCTTTAGTTAGGAAGTGACACGCAGAAGATCACAACACACTTTGATTGGAAGAAATAAAACCGCATTCTACTGGTTATTAGGTGTGAGGACATAACTACAACGGAAGACACAACTACAACGCTACAGACATACGAAGTTCTGTTTTTGGAGCCTGGGAATTACTCGGCCCAGGCTATTCTGGATTTCACGCTTTGCGATGGTTTTTAGGGATCCACCGGAGGATTGGTACCCATGAGGTTCTCTTTTCACATGTAACTTTAGCATAGCAACCAAGATAAGTAGAGTGTTTTGCTAGTTTTTAAAGAATCGAGGCAAAGCTGTTGTTCTCCAGCAAGGCTAATATGTGGAAATTTCGCTCTCAAGGTCTTGCCGTTCTTTGAATGAATGAAATAATAAAATCACTTCCACGTCTTTTTCTCTTTTTTTCTTAAGGTGACATTCAAGGCCATAAGTAGGAGACTGGTATCCTTGGAGAAATTGACCATGATTTTATTAAAACACCGCTTCAAAGTGGAAAGCCGATCGAGTTTTACGTCGAACAGTGCAATAAAACAAAAGGTAATGATATGAATGAGTTTTACCAAGAAAATAATTTGCTTACTGTAACTTTTTTATACAACGCAAACGCAATATTTTCAGAACTGAAATAATCATTAATCCGAACATCAGTATGCATATTCTTCATATTGTTCTCACACATTTTCTAAGGTGCTGACAAGGAGAATTTGTTTAACAATCAAGAGCTGCGTTAGTTGGTGATTATTTCCTCTAACATTAGTATGCATATTCTCCACACTATTCTCCATACATTTCCTGTTAAAGGTGCTGACAGAGAGAATTTGTTCAACAATCAAGAGCTTCTTTAGTTGCGGATCTTTTCCTCTCTTCTCGTAACCTTCATTTCTTGATTCAAGGGTGATATTGTTGGGAGAAATTAGATGCTAGTCACTCTTGGGATCTCGAGCATTCAGGTGGAAATGAAAAGTCTGCACTCTGATGCTCCATCAGCGAGCCACAGTATACTGTAAATTTAGATAGGCCGTTACTTTAACGTACTATGTACAGGTTTCTTCGAGAACATCCAGCCGTTTCTGAGTCAATCAAGTAAAGAAAGTTTCTCACGACGTGTGCTATCCAATAACACATGCATGATACGTAAACTGTCCAATTACACAGTCCAATTATAAGCCTGACGCCCATACTTTCCCACTAGAGCTCAAATCGGGCTGGTGATTGCCAATCATGTTCAAGAATTTTGTAATGGTTTTGATTAGCCAATGTAGATTTAAATTAGAAACAAATTATCAAATTTTGTCAAGCCATTTTTGTCAGCAAATCTCTCTGTTGGTAAGATTTTTTTAATTAATTAACGTTTCCATCAAAGATTTTTGTTCTTTTCATATTCTTTTGAAGTTTTATCTCTTGGTTTTATACAACATTAAAAGGAAAGACGCGAGCGCTCATTGTGGATCTTTGCAGGTCTCCTGGAAAGGAAGCGATGATAAAGAAGTCAATCAGAATATTCTTCATGAGGAGATCCAAAAAGTCTTGGACTGCCCCAACATGGGAGGGAATCAAAGCGTTTTTCTTTTTTAACGTCCGTATACATTACTCACTATCGCTGAACTTTACAGCTTACCAAATGCTGATCGATAGCATTATCGACATACTAAGGAGGTCCACTGGTAATGAGAATGAAAACACGTTGAGTAGCCGGGCACTTTCCATTTGGTGAAATAACGCGGCTATAGCGCGGAGCGTTTTGAAGACTCTTTCCTGCAAGTGAACTATACCGAAAGGAGATTCTATACCAATCAAGTAATAATACAAGTTGAAATATTATATTCCTTCATCGCAAACATGATCAATTCTCTTTTGCTGACCAGTGAAAGGACGTATTAGGACGCGCGCGGGTCAAGCAAATGTACTGAGAAACACTCATCAGAAAACTTTGTAACGTACGGAGACCAGTCTTCGCAATCTTCATTTATCCAGGGGGGGCGACTTGATGGGGATCAGTAGTCGTCAACATAGTATAAAAGGGGAGGGGGGTACCACAGAAAATTGATTGTCAATTAAGTGACAATGAGAGGGAAATCATAAGAATATTTTAAAACCCGTCTGGGGGATATCAGGTAAATTTTTACCGCGACACCGTGACCAAAATCTTCCGAACTCCTCCCCCCACTCACCCCAGGTTGTATACAATGACCGGTCTCTAAACTGGGGATACGCATTCAAGACGACTGCGTCAGTGAACGGTTTGTCATGTAAAACGATGGATGGTTGGTATGTGCACCCCAATTTTTTTTTACATTTGTTTCAATTCCGTCTTCCAGAGGATTTGTGATAGAATGCTAACTGACACTTGACATCAAAAACTTTGTCATAACAACTGAAAAAATCATGGGAATGAGGATTGCGACAATGTCTGTTACGTAAACAAACTATTAATGTTTCAAATTTGTTTATAACATTTTGCCTAATTTGTCTCATCTCTTCCTTGCTTGCCTACTTTGTCTACGATTCAGAGGAATCAGCTGTTCCATACTTATGCTACAGACGCTATGTGTAAGGCAGGAATCCCTGTTCTTGATATTTACCCGTTGACCACTGCTTGGCCTGAAGGCACCCGTGATTCCATGCACTACATTGATAAACCATTGGAGCCTGCAGTTAGAGCTTTGGAGCGATTTCTTACTGAAGTATCACTGAGATGACGGAGTTCTTCGGTGATGCCTTACAGACCGTGAGAAAGAGAGGATCATACTGTTACCTTCTATAAGAGAGGATCACTGCTTTAGTTAAGCCATAACTCTCTTGTTAAGATCTTTCTTTGCCTTTTGATTAATACAAATAGATAACGTTTTTATCAACTCAAAGGGAGTTTTCCCACAGTTGCACAATGGCTTGAGGATCTTTCCTCGCATTCAAGTCATCTTAGTCCAATAATAATCATCATCTTATGATCTGTAGGAGTACAGAGGCATTCAGTGTAGATGAAGTTCCCATCAACTCTTTTTTACTTCTTTATATATAAAACAAATAGACTCTATGTTACCATGGGTCTTAAAAGTAATGGATCACAGAATATGTCAAAATGTGGTTAGAACTTCTGTGACATACTCAGTTGTGCCTCATGTGCTACTTTTTTGTTTTCACCACATTTAGACGTCATGTGTGATCTACAAGCATTACTGAACATCTGCATGGATCATAGATGTTGTTAGTGAAGGGGTTCACATGTGGTTAACATGCCATGAATTAGTTTTTGATCATGTTGTCATGATCTGTAGGAGAGAGTTGATCCTGAAAAAAATGGTTCAGCACTGGTGTCCAGACTAGCACAACAGTTAAGGCCCAGGTATCATTTCACTGGTCATGAGGGAGTCTATTACGAGAGACCTCCATACAGGTGAGAGAAGGGTATTTGACAAGCACATAAGTGATAACCCTGTGTGACATGTCAAATGAAAACCTTTTTCCATCAACCTAAAATCAATAACGTGTAATACGCTTCTACCAGTACACTGCTGAAAATGGAAATGGCCAAAAAGGGGTTTGGCTTGAACCCCTCTAACTAGAAATTCCTGCTTTTTCCTCGAACCTTTCTTTGAAAAAAAAGTTAAAGTGTAAGCTTCATTTGTACTCCATGGTTGATTTTCTAATGATCCCTTTTGGGTTGGGCAGAGACACACTGTATTTTCTACGACTGGGCGAATGCTTAGCGGTTTCAAGTCTCCTTCGCATTCGCGGTTTGCTCTCGTCAGGCGACGCGTACTCTTCCTCAAGAAAGAAGGAGTTGCAGTGGTGGATCTAGGGGAAAGGTCGGGGGTATCTTTATTTCCCTTCCCCCCCCCCCCCCCCCCCCACCAAACTTGTGGTTATTTTTACCACTTGCCTGAAACCAAAATATTCTAACAACAGTATATGGTACATTTCTACTCAACTTTTTCGATCCTTTTACTTTCTTAACATTATTGCGAAGGACAAATAAGTTAGATCGATTTTCCGAAAGTATACCTTTGACAACTTTTTAAAATTAAAAACTGTGTAGATTTTTCGTGATTTACTGAAAACGTTATTTTTTTTTTGTAGGAATCATCGGGTGTTGAGAGAATCTGCACAGCAGGTGACACGTTTTATTGCCCTTGCCCAAGCTGGTAATCCACACAAGAAAAAGGTACATGAAAATACTTAATCATTTCTTTAATCACCTTTGATAGTTCGGGTGTTCATGTAGTTCAAGTAACAATTTAAAAAAACAAACAAGCAAACAAATAGACAAACAGACAGACTTCTATTCTGTGAGCACCTCCATATGACTCCCTCTATACAAAGCACCCCACCACCCCCCTCCCCCCCTCTTCTTCCCCCTCCCTGTTTAAAAAAAATTATAAAGTGATATATCGTTTTATTGTTATTCATTTGGGCAAGGTAGCATTGGGGTACGAAATGTACTTTCAGTCAAAGACTTGTACCAATTTTGAACAACACAGATTTCCAGCCAAAGAAATGCATGCTGTTTACGGTATTCACTATATCTGGGTGTCAATTCTGTTCACTCTGCTCTCTTATTCCTTGCAGTACATGTACGCGTTCAATATCGTGCCCTTGGTGTCCATGGATAAAAACGAACTTGTCAAACAGCCACCAGATGTCACGGAGTGTCCTTATAACAGGTTAAGTGGCAGCAATGTGAACACAGCTGACCAAAATACAAATCTACAGTCTCAGGTGACCTCTCAAACCTTACTGGATAATTAAGTAAAAGTAAGACTGTAATGCGTAAAATCCTCAGGGACTTGTCACATTTAGTCGTTGCATATTCTAGTAATGAAGTACGGCAGTGTGCGTTAACACAATGTAATAAAAAAATTAATGTCAATATTTTTACCTGCGGATGAAAAACAGGTGAGGAGGCGAGCTGCAATAACAGTAATAATGATAAATTGAAACGAAGCCAGAAAAAATTCAGGGTCGGACAGGATTCGAATCCGTGCCTCCATGTAGAGCCTAATTAGAAACTTGGAGGTACAGGTTCCAGTCCTTAACGGAAACGAGGAATTCACCAAAATTTTCCTCGCTTTCATCATGAATAACAGTTCAGAAACGTTTAGGTGTATTTTGGTAAATTTCACCGTAGATTATTGGCTCACAGACTCTCAAAAGATATCTTTTTGTATTTTTTTAATACAAAAAGACTTAAGTCTAAATGGTGTCTACTTGTTTTATTGCAGGCCAGTGCCACAGGTCAGAACTTCTTTTTTGATATGAGTAACACAGGGAAGTCACAGGGACCTGGACAAAAACGACGAAGGGATCATGGTATCTGAAAATATATATAATCTGCTCTAAATCACAAGCTGGCCTTTTAGATTAACAGATATTTCTGCTAAGCACGAGGCACTTAGGAGTCTTCAACCCTTCTATCCCACCCCGTCCCCCCTCCCCCAGGTTTCGTTGACAGATTTTTGGAACTGACTTGTATCACCAGCACCATATCCCCGCAACCCGCAAGGGCTCGAAGCCGTACTGCTCAAATGCTGAGCATTGGACAACTCGCTTCCCCCGTACATTTTGTTTGTAGTTCAGTAAATTCCCTTTTAGTCAATTGGAATGCAACTTCTTAACTAATACTCGAACCATTTTTCCGCTAACCTAGCTTGTACTTTGATCTTACATTAGGAATTCCGATAGCTTACAGTTTCGATTAGTTAAATTTTCCAGTCATTTACCCCAGTCTCGTAAATTTTTACAGGTGGCGAAGAAGGCGGTTCCAACAAACAGCCAAGACAACGTAAAGGACCACGTAAGTATGATCCCTTTGATTATTGCGATGTAGGAAAGAACATGCTGTATTGGAGCAATACAAGACTTAAACTTTTTCTAAACGCAAGGGGGCTGTTAGATTTCTAGACAGTTGCGCAGACCCAAGGCGCAGTCGGGGATTGATTTCGAGAATTCTCCCAAACTCCCCCATTCCCCTATTCCCCCATCTCCATATAGGAAACAATTTTTCATCTATTTGCACGAGATTTTTGGGACTAACGTCGCATGACTCATTTTGTAGTCTTGAGGTCAGGTTGATCTAAGTTCTTTGAACTTCTCCTGGCTTTGGATTTGAACGCTTGGCCATATTTACTTTTTTTTTCCTTTAGCTCCCTTAAAAGGTTCCTGTTGGTTCTGCCTGGGAAGTCCTGAGGTCGAGAAACATTTGGTTGTCAGTGTGGGAGACGCTGTAAGTATGTTTCCGCTCAAGTCTCACCAGAATTTCTGACGTGACAAATTTTGAATAACGTGCAAGAAAAGTCCGTTCAAAGGCGAAACTTGGAAAACTTACGAGACTTACGAGACAAAATGTTTGTCAAAGTGCTGTGGTTCTATAACGTAAAACAACGGGAAAGCACTTCAATAGACGTTAAATATCATTTTAGACCATGATCAACATAAGTACCTTCCCCAACAAAATGAATTCAACTTTTGATATGATTCTCCATTTGTCATCAGTCGTACGTGGCATTGGCTAAAGGAGGTCTGGTAGCTGATCATGTATTGATCTGTCCCATCGCGCATTTCGAATCAACAGTTAAATTGACAGAGGTAGGAAAGACCTTTTGACTTCTGTTTCCAAACCACGATTTAGATATAGCAACGCATGAAAGGCTTTTGAAATTTCAAGTATTATGAGCTAAAAGAAATTACTCAACGAAAAAGGTGGTGCAGCCTTTTTTGAACGTTTTCGATAACTTAGCTTTTGAAAAAAAGATTGAGCAATCAGATTTTAAGTTTCCATGAGGACTTGTCCCTAAGGTTACGCCGCCCAAAAAGCCTAGATATTTAGCTGAGAAGGCTGTAGCTAATCGTGAGTCGCAAATTTCGTCAACAAGGACAACCTATTCGTGATTGAATGTCCACGGAACACCGAAGCAGCAAGCGAGTTACTTACCACAAACTACGACGTTAACGTTCCATCATATACTCTTTCCTGAACTATGACTTAATTTTACAGCGCCGGTAAAGTAACGGTTCGACGCTGTACTGTAATATTGCAGTTCAACACTGAGTGTGATAAAACTGATAGTAGCCTTTTTTGTTTTATTACAGGACGTTCTCATGGAAATTGAAAAATATCCTTTATAGAGCGTGTTGGGAAAGAATCTATTGTAGTTGTGATCTTTGATTGTCCTGTGTGAAAGAGTGTTCGAATTCTTTAACACTAAAGCAGGTACAAGAGAGCGCTTCGAAAAATGTATCACAAAGAAGGCAAATCCTGTGTAATTTTTGAAAGGAATTATTACACACAGCACCTTCAACTTCAGGTAAAACTAGTAATCATCCTCGTAGTAACAGAAAGAAAAACACGAAAGGTAACCTGTAAATCGTAAAAAGAAAAAAAGAAAACGAGAAAAAAAAAAGCTCGTGTCAGAAGTGGGATTCGAACCCACGCCTCCATTTGGAGACCAGAAGACCCGGCCCAGTTAGCACTGGGAAGGAGATTATCCTTGAGTCTGGCGCCTTAGACCGCTCGGCCATCCTGACATTCGCTAAATCTTAAAGATTTAATTTGTTATCTATAGGTTATACCAGTGCCTCCCACAGATGTTGAGGAGTTAAAAGACATTTTTAGAGAACACGGAGATTCCAATTCTCTTGCAATGAGGGACGTGCCTGCCAATACAGAGCTTAGTCAGGTGATGTGTTTATTGTTTGATAATTTACAGGCTCTTTTACGAGGAGCTACAGGGCACAGGTCAGAACCCCAAAAATGACTTGGGAGCCAGCAAAGGAATAGGAAGAGCACCGGAAACAGGTGCAACATTAAAGTAACATGAGCAATAATAACAACAATAATGGTAATAATAACGATAATTATGATAATCTATGAAAATGATAACTTGAACGACATCAGCAACAACAAAAACAGCTGCAATGAAATTATGATGATGATAATGCCCCGATCAATTCGAACTTTCAAACCTCCCCTCCCTCTCTTCGGCAATCCACGGGCATTTGACTGTCGTCTGTGCCTTGGGTGTGGGGAATTAAACCTTGCCTGGGTGGGATGGAGAATTTTGTGAACTAGCGGAGTACACAGTGCACGACAACAAAAATACAAGTTACTGTAACAATAATTCGAAAACTTAACAGATAAAAAGTTAACCACAGTTTAATGAGACTTATGTGAAGCAAAGAAATCCTCGTAGAAAAGCTTCAGGATTAGGAACTGCTCAAAAGAAGCTCGAAATTGATGTTTTGACGGGATTCGAACTCATGCCTCCCAGTGACTGTTTGAGTACGAATATCAATTTAGCTTCGAAGCCACATCATAAGTGTGAGCGACAGATTGTGCTAGTGTTATCCACTTTTCCGGATTAAGAGCGAGAATTTGGCGCTATATCAATATAGCACCCGCCAAATCAGAAGCATAAAGGTCGGTTTTTAGTACACGATGTGTCGGCATTGTGAGGTAAAGTTACATATGAATCCTTATGGCGGTGCATGGGTGAACGGCAGCTACTTCAAAATCGAACGTAAGATGTTATCAACCCTTTGACCCCTGAGAGTGACCAGCATCTAATTTCTCCTCACAATATCACCCCTGAATCAAACTTTAAGGTTATGAGAATAAAGGAAATGATCACCAACTAATAAACCTCTTGATTGTTAAACAAATTCTCTTTGTCAGCACCTTAGACAATATATGAAGAGCAGTGTAGAGAAAATGTGTACGGATCTTTGGGTGCAAAGGGTTCACAACTGACGAGTCTTGTGGGCTCGTTTTATTTTTTAGTTGGCTTTGTCATCGATCAATTTGTTTGTATTGCTGTTTTTTGTAAATTCTTTAATTTTGTGTTTACTTATTTTGTTGCAGATCGTACCAGTTGGAGCGCCCTATTTTGTGGTAGAATTCGACAACGAAGAGAAATTGCTTCACAGAGTATCTTTGAAGATGCCTCTACAGTTTGGAAGGTAGCTTTATCATACAATATCTCAGTAATTAATTCCTACGTTCGATGTAAGCATCAGGGACATAATCTTTGAGAAGGTTACTAGAGATTTTCAGACCTGTGTAAAGTGCGATATACAATATTAATTAACAATGCCCTGACATCAGTATCCTCATTCTCCATACTATTATCTACACAAATCGTTTTGTACTGCCCAAGAGAATTTGTTTAACAATCAAAGCTTATTTGGTTGGCAATCATTTCCTTTCTTTTCATGATCTTCATAAATAATTCAAAAATATTACTGTAAGGAGAAATTAAATACTGGTCTCTCTTAGGGTTCATTAATGGGTTTAATAAATGGAAAGCATAAAACCATCATAATCGTATCGACTGTGGCTTTTTAGAGGGAAATTATTTTATAAATTCTGACAGTGTTGTTTGGCTTTATCTCCGTCTCTTGTTTGTTAAATATAGGACAATTTTCTTTGGATTGTCGAAGACAAAATTAGCGTGCGTTTGTTTTCTTTACTACGCCCTTGGATTGGTGTAGAACCTATTGATCTGATGTGTCTTTCGTTCCTTGAACAGGGAAGTTGCCGCCAGTCCCGCTCTTCTCAACATGCCCGACAGAGTGGACTGGAAAGCTTGTAAAGTTTCTAAGGACGAGGAGACAAGGATGGCAGCCGTCTTTAGAAAGAAATTCCAACCTTACGATTTTAACTTGGAATAGGCAAAAGATAAAATCGAAAAAGGAATTGCTGATGAGGCTGGGCATGCTTTCATACAATCCAGACCCAAACAATCCAGACCCAAACATTAGGGTTTCCAGGAAATGCTTTACAAAGAAACGACGGATTTACGATGTTCGAGACTACAAGCTGTACGGCAGAGTAATCTAGTATTATTGACTGAGTTGATAACGTAAATTGGCCACCGTAAAAAAGCGTCAGATTTAAAGCTCTTTACGGTGGTCAATTTACGTTATCAGCTCAGTTGATTATACTAAATTACCCTGTTATACTCTCCCTCCGACGTAGCACCGAAGTTTCTTTAGAAACCTATTCCCTTTATACAACCTGTATGGTCAGATAACTGTAGAGATGATGGTAAATTCCCGATAGTTAGATCGCGATAATTTATGTTTATATGAAATGGACGAAATATTTCAAGAGATAAGTCGTCATTATCTTTAAAACAGAAAAAAAAAAAAAAAAAACAATAACGCTTCGTGACCGGTCTTCTTTATAATTTGATAAAATAAATGATCAGATTCTTTTCATGAAACGAACTACCCGCTAAAATGTACCTCGCCTCTAACCTGTGGTAGTAAGGTCCTACAAGTGTTCAGGAGACAAGGCCGTGAATCCTGTCGAGCCTTGGATCTTTTCAGGTGTCTTTTCATTAATTTCGGTAAATACAGCTCACCCGTGAGGATATTTTCTTTCCTTGCTGTTGTTCTTTCAATGCAGTTTGGAGCCAGTAGGTCTATAATGACAAATGACAGTGAGCGTATCAAGAGAGGCGGATTCGGCCCTGGTGACTTCATTCGGCGACTAAAGGATAAATATTATTTTCCTATTTGTCTGTTTTTGTTGTTGTTGTTCGGTTGTTGATATTTTGTTCAATATTAGAATAGAAGAAGCGTTAAAAATGAGGTAAGACAGATGAATTTGATTTTGGTCGTCATTTTGGGATTGGTATCTAGAAAAATTGACTTCCTAAGCGGTCAATTTTCTTTAAGAATTACGCTAACACTGGGCCCACGCTATGAGCCGCCAACCAGTGATCTGGTAGATCCTCTGACGTTCACAACAGACGAAATGGCGGTTCGCGGAAAAGTGAACCTTTTTCTTTTCCAAAAACCCTTTTCACTCACGGCAGGATATGTTTTTTTTTTCATTTTCAATCAGGAAATTAATAGTTCGTGCGCCTTTGGGGTCTAGCTTTACTTTGGTTTCAAACCAAACGCTTTTTCTTCATTTTAATGTTTCGTGATGAGAGATTGACGTCAAATCTGCATACAAAAACCAAAGCAATTAAATGCGAGCGCAAAAAAATAGGATTTTTTCGTTTAGGGTTACCGCGAAAAGGTCTCTAAGGAGATTGCGTCTTATGGGAAATTTGACCCCGATGATTTTTCGACTTTTTGAAGATAGTATTATTTTAAATAACCCGCGCACGTTTTGAGATTTACTCTAAATTTTATGAAAGTGTTGACCTGTTAGGGTTTGGAGTATCGCCGCACATGAAAAGAAATTTGTCAATATCAATAAAGAATAACTGACAACAGTCATGGTACTTATGAATTATTGTCAGACAGGCAACAACGCGCGCGCACAATAACCGAATGTAAAAATAGCTCGGGAGGATAGCACCTCGGATTTTTTCGGTCAAGCTGTTCACTGCGAAAAGGTCGCTAAGGGGTTTACGTCTTACGGGAAATTTGTCACCGATAATTTATTGCACCTTTTTAAAAGTAGTATTTTCCTCATTAACCCGCGCACGTTTTGAGATTAACTTTAAATTTTCTGATAGTGTTGACGTGTTAGGGTTTGAATTATCACAGCACATGAAAGAAGTTTGTCAATATTGATTAAGATTAACTAACAACAGTCTTAGCACAAATGAATTATTGTCAGACAGGCAACAACGCGCAGCAACCGAATGTAAAAATAGCACGGAAGAGCATTGAGGAAAAGCAGCACTGCAAAAGATTGGCGCTGTCCAGGTGAGAAATTCCAAGAAAAAATGATTGAAGGAATCATATTCCAAGTTTTGTCATGCCATTTCAAAATATGTCGCTGGATAATGATGTTTCTTTGCCTACGTGTGTTTAAGTTTTGTGAGGGCTGTTCGCGATTGTTTTGCTTTGAATAAAGTTAGCTTCAGGCATCTGATATGCCGGGGGACTACGTATTGGAAGTAATTCAAATCTACACTCCCGGACTCATTTGTGTTGAAGACTTGCTGCCTCATGTGTCCCTCTCAATGTTGGGCTTTAAGACGGCATAGAAGCATTTGGAATTAACAACTTTGGCAAAAGGGAAGGGGCGAGAGAAGATCGTAGCCGTCGTTCCTCTGAAGAAGTGTCCCTACCGATATGTCTGGGAGTGTCGCTCATTTATCAATTTATATTCACTGCACAAGCGAGTGTTTAACCCATAAATGGTCATCGGTCAGTTGCTTCCATAAGTTAACCTATATTAAGCGACTCTTGACAAAACCTCGACTTCTTTAATTATCATCCGAGTTGAATTACGGCTAGGAGAATCCCCTCTGCTGTCAAATGTTTGTAAGCGTTTATATGAAGAAAAGAAGTTAAACCAGGCCAGTCCCTCTTCCAGGGTATACCTTGTAGAAATCTGGTTGGGTATAAAACTCATTCAAATTTTCGTATGGACAAGCTATTCAGGGTAGGTACGTTCTCTCCAATAACATTGTCTGAATCGCTTCTCCTTTTTAATTTAACCAGTTTGAACTAATCACGAACCACCATTTTGTTGTACTGGACTTGGCATATCTGCGATTTGTCCCCTTGATGTTTAGGTCTTTGATCAGTTCTTTAACCCTTTACACCACAACATCAGAATGCATATTCTGCATACCGTTCTCAATATATTTCCTAAGGTGATGACAAGGAGAATTTGTTTAACAATCAAGAGCTTCTTTAGTCAGTGATCATTTTCTTTATTCTCGTGACCTTGATATGTGATTCAGGGGTGATACAGCAAGGAGAAATTAGATGCTTATCACTCTTAGGATGTAATGGGTTAAAGGCTGACGCGAGTCAGTCTCAAAGCAAACCTCGTGTTAGTACAGAAGGACAAACCGGGTTTCGGTCAATTTATAATTATCAGCCTTAAGCACTTTTTTTGGACAGTTCTGCCGAAGTGTCAAATCGGCCCATGTTCACGAGAGGAGAATTGAAGTAAATAGCGACCGAGTAGCGCTGCAAGACGCTTCCCCGCCCGTGGAAAGATTTAGAGCGAGTCGAGGAGAGTTGGCTGTGGGTTCTGGCATCCATTATCAGCACTGGACCCTTCACAGACCTCTCCCTAGCTCTCTTAGCTAAACGCTCTTTCCAGCGATCAAAGAAATGCTGGTTCCGATAAATTTGCCGATGCAATGCTCTTACATTGTGTGCATCTAACGCGTGGAGAAGTGGCTAATTCTCTGATTTGAGTCAAACATTTTGTTAAAACGTTGTTCATATTTTCTTTTCCTTTTATTTTCACAGCTAGTAACCAGAGATGATGTTTCGTAAAGTACAGAAGCTGTTCTTACTGTCCCTGTTTGTTTTAATAACAATTATTGTCCGTGAATTTTTTAAACTTGAATTCTTACGCCTCGTGAAACTAGCCGACTTTAGCCAAGATCAGTTAACACATGATCAGTTACCACTTGATCGATTAACAGCTGATAGATTAACACGTTCATCAAGTGACCGTGAAAGTTTTTTCACTGACTGATGCCGACTTCAGCGGTCGAGTATGGACTGGGAAGTATTGTCGGGACGCTGTCATGACAAAATGGCTTGGACACAGCGTGAGTCCTCTTCAAAAAACAGAACAGACCCTGATAAGAGGATCAATCCTGTTGACACAGAACCTCGAAAAAGTTGGACGAACTAAATAATGAAACTAAAATTGACACCGAAACACTCTCTTCGTTTAGAAGATAGGGCAAAAACATCACTCTAATTGGGCGTATAACCAGTTTTTTTGGTTGTTTATTACCAACTTGTAGTTGATAATACATTTAAACTAGGTTCTATTTTCTGCTTTCGACTTTTTTGTTTACTTTGTTTGTTTCGTTAATGAAACAGTATCTACCTTAGGAACATTATTTTTGCAAATTTGAAATTAGTGATGGTAATGGACTGGGTGGGATCCAACTTGGCAGTTGTTGATGTAGGAATTTCAAAGGTCAACAAAATGAAATAACAAAATCACTTCCGGCCTTTTCTCCTTTTTTCTTAAGAGGTATCCTGGGAGATATCGAAAACGGACGACCGCTAAGCGGGAGTCGACTTGTTTATTACGAGTATAATTACAGGTAGAACTGGACGCCACGAAATTTTGTTCCCTCTTAGTCAAAACTAGCCCTTACTTTTCATAAAAAAACAACAGTTAACTCGACGATATTCTTGACAACAGCGTACGCACACGACGGGTACTGTCCAATAACAGATGCATGATATACAGACTGTCGAATTACACAGTTCAATTATAAGCTTGACGCCCATACTTTCCTACTAGTGCTCAAATCGGGCTGGTGATAACCAATCATGTTCGAAAATTTTGTAGTGATTTTGATTAGCCGAAGTAGATTTAGATGAGAAACAAATTATTAAATTATGTCACGGCATTTTTGTCAGCTAATCTCTCTGTTGGTAAGATTTTTTTAACGTTTCCATGACAGATATTTGTTCTCATATTCTTTTGAAGTTTTATCTCTTGGTTTTATGAAGCATTAAAAAGGATGACGCGAGCGCCCGTTGTGTATCTTTGCAGGTCTCCTGGAAAGGAAGCGATGATAGAGATTTCAACCAGACTATTGTCCTTGAGGAGATCCAAAAAGTCTTGGACAGCCTTAACATGACAGGGAATCAAAGCGTTTTCTTTTTTAACGTCGGTATACATTACTCACTATCGCTGAACTTTACAGCTTACCAAATGCTGATTGATAGCATTATCGAGATACTAAGGAGAGACACTGGTACTGAGAATGAAGGCGCGTTGAGTAGCCGGGCACTTTCCATTTGGCGAAGTAACGCGGCTGTAGAGGCGGAGCGTTTTAAAGACTGTTTCCCGCAAGTGAACTATACCGAATGGAGATTCTTTACCAATCAGGTAATAATACAAGTTGAAACATCATATGCCTTAATCGCAAACATGATCAGGACTATTTTGATGACCAGTGAAAGGACGTATTAGTACGCGCGCGGGTCAAGCAAACGTACTGAGAAAAACACTCATCAGAAAACTTTGTAATGTACGGAGACCAGCATTCGAAATCTTCATTTATCCGGGGGGGGACTTAATGGGGATCAGTAATCGTCAACATAGTATAAAAGGGGGGGATACCACAGAAAATTGATCGCCAATTAAGTGGCAATGAGAGGGGAATCATAAGAATATTTAAAACCCGTCTGGGGGATATCAGGTAAATATTTACCGTGACACCGTGACCAAAATCTTCCGAACTCCTCCCCCCACTCACCCCAGGTTGTATACAATGACCGGTCTCTAAACTGGGGATACACATTCAAGACGACTGCGTCAGTGAATGCTTGGCATGCAAAACGATGGATGGTTGGCATGTGCACCCCAATTTTTTTTCCCATTTGTTTCAATTTCGTCTTCCAGAGGACTTTATGATAGAATGCTAACTGACACTTGACATCAAAAACTTTGCCATAACAACTGAAAAAATCATGGAACTGAGGATTGCGACAATGTCTGTTACGTAAACAAACTATTAATGTTTCAAATTTGTTTATAACATTTTGCCTAATTTGTCTCATCTCTTCCTTGCTTGCCTACTTTGTCTACGATTCAGAGGAATCAGCTGTTCCATACTTATGCTACAGACGCTATGTGTAAGGCAGGAATCCCTGTTCTTGATATTTACCCGTTGACCACTGCTTGGCCTGAAGGCACCCGTGATTCCATGCACTACATTGATAAACCATTGGAGCCTGCAATTAGAGCTTTGGAGCGATTTCTTACTGAAGTATCACTGAGATAACGGAGTTCTTCAGTGATGCCTTACAGACCGTGAGAAAGAGAGGATCATACTGTTACCTTCTATAAGAGAGGATCACTGCTTTAGTTAAGCCATAACTCTCTTGTTAAGATGTTTCTTTGCCTTTTGATTAATACAAATAGATAACGTTTTTATCAACTCAAAGGGCGTTTTCCCACAGTTGCACAATAGCTTGTGGATCTTTCCTCGCATTCAAGTCATCTTAGTCCAATAATGATCATCATCTTTTCCCTAATGCATTAAAGCCGTTCATTTTCAAGCAATATTCTCGAATACAATGTTGAGGTTTGCCCAGGAACTGGCATAGACATTTCATACCTGTTAGCCTTAGCTTGCTTAAAAAGTCATCTCGATACGACTCCTTATTGTGTCCTTAGTAAGCGACAGGGCCTCTATTAACATGATATAGTTGTCTCCTAACCTTAATCACGTGCAAGTAGTTTCATCTTTAATTTGTTAGGTGACCATTGTTGGACTTCTGTGGAATGTTCAGCTGTCTTCTATAACATATGCTGCACAAGCCAACACATTTCCCATTTTGATCGCACAAACGATACCTCTAAAGTGATGATACCATAAGATTTAGGATCTTCATTATAAAACCATGCAGACTTTTTTGTTTAACACCTGTTTATTGTAATCAAGTCAGTTATAACATAGATATATTCCACAGCTTTCTAGAGGTCGTTAAGCCTCTGAAAATCTGAAATAATGGCATGTAACTTAAATAGAAATAATCTGATGGGTTTCGACAGTAGTCGTTTATATCACCGGCAGTCTACTGCAACTTACAGGATTTTTATAGCCCCTTACGTGGTTATAGTCGCTTATATCACCATCAGCAGCCCCTTTTGAACACAAGAAATGTTTTATATTTGGAGTCAGGTGTTATGTGAAAGATAAACTGACCGTGCTTTTACGAAATAACACAAATTCCTCTCTTTTGTGGGGGAGGAGGTGGTCTGTTTGCGAGAGCAACAATTTGCTTCTGAAGCTCGACAATTTGGTCATTTCTTTTTTCCATTGACTGCCGCATCTGCTCCATTGACTCCTTAAAGGTTTGATTCTGCTGGACAATTGCCTCTCGATCCTTTCGCAGCTCCTCCATGTTTGCTGTCATCATATTGTGCATTTGCTCCCTTTGGGCTTCCATGTCCGCTTTAAACTGCTCTTCCAAGCGTTTCCTGTCTTCCTCTTGCTTAGCTTTCAGAATTTCCATCTGGAACACAAAACAAAATTCGATAATTGACATCTAAAACATTTTTAAGCTTATGTCTACTCAATCTTTCAATTGAACTGGAGCATAGGAGAAAATGGCAATTAATCAGACTTAGGTGGGCGGTGGAATAGGGACATCGGTAGAATGGTATTAGTATTGCACAAACATGGAAGTAACCCACGAAAAAGTGATCATGGATGATGTGCTAACACTTTGTATGTTACCTTCAAGTAACACCCGTGTAAAGTAAAGAAACAAAGCAAAGACAACAAAAAACAACAGCAACAACGGCAACAAACAAAATCACCCAATAAACCAAAAAGCAAACGAAAAAAAAAAAACAGATACGAGGAAACCCACCTCTTTTTCTTTTGCACGCCTCTCCTCTTCCAACCGAGCATTCTCTTCCTAGAGTTCAATCATAAATCGTTTCGCATCATTGATATAGGTTGCAATCGGTATTTCAATGAGAACCAACTTTTGCCGCAAATGCAGTGGGATTTGTAGCATATTCCATAAACCATGTTTTTACCATTACTATTAAAATTTTTGTAATCACCAATCGTCATCATTATTATTACTAATTTTTACATAATATACATAATCTGCACAATAAAGTAAAATTTCAGACGATAAATTGTGCTTTAAAAGCTTTATATAATTTTAAAACTGAGGTAAGAACATACAGCAAGAAAAACACGACGCCTCCGACAAAGGCATGATACCAAATCCTGCTTTTGTTTTTCCAATGCTAGCGCTTGAGGCAAGTTTGTACAATTACCATTAAGCTGCTCTACTGTAACTCCACGCTCGACAAATGTTTACCCTCAAAAAATTTTTTGACACAAGCGTAAGAAAAAAAATTTAGGGAGACTGATTGAAATAAAACTAATCAGGTAACACGTAGGTATGTGCGTGGGCAATAGTATCTCTTTCGCTAATTATTAAAAGTGTCACCTCTATTCGTTGTCTCTCCTGCTCCTGACGAGCCTTTTCTTGTCTTTCGAAAGCCAAAGACTCGTCGAAGTCTTTCAGCTGTTGTAGATACGCCATGTGTTTCTCCATCTCTGCCTGCATTTCCTACAATGCCCAAATAAGAGTTTAGAAGACTTATTTGGCTTCACGAATAAACATAGGGATTTGTAGGGATATGTCCTATAACTTAAATCCGATTATTCGTTTTGCCGATGGTTTGCCCACTACTTTGCTTATATCTTGCTCGACTGCACTGGACTGATTTGAACGTTTTCAACTGATCAAAACAAATCCCACATACACCTACCGGATGAAACTCGTAAAACACTTGAGCGCAAATGTCCTTGGCTCCCTTTGCGTCACGTTTAAATCCCTGTTCAATTGCTGAGTAGCCACCAATGATCTGAGCAAAGCTCACTGATGCTCCATCCTTGCCGCTTAGCTCCCTCAGAATGGGGTCCAAGTGTTCTTCTTTCAAGGCCCTCAGCAATTTATGGCATTGTTCTTTCGTTTGTCGATTGTTCTCATCCTGCCATCGTTTCAACGCCTCGTTCATACTCTCCTAAAAAGAAATAACGATGCTTATTTCATAAGAATGTCGTAGTTTTAGTATGAAACGTAGGCGTCCTCAGGACACTAAAGTACTGAGTGTTCCTAACAGGAGCTGCGCTTATGAACCTCTGAGCCAATACTAACTCATGAAAAACTGCTGATTTGCCACACCTGTACTCAAAATGCCATTGAATTCATGAACTACCCACGGATGAATATCCTTCAATCTTCAAAAGCTTGTTAGGTCATTATGTGAGAAAATTTTTATGATCAGCACATTCATAATAACACTGTAATGTTGCAGTCGTACCATGAGCTCATCAAAATACTTCTCGCTACTCGAGGCGGAAACTCCAACAGTTTCTTCCTGAAAAATCCTCATGCTCTCTCCAATAGCTCTTTCCTGAACCTGACGAATGTTATCGCTGTTACAAGGCAGTAAACCATCCAGCTCTGACGTCATTACACTTTCATACACCTTTAAGGCGGCATGTTTCGCCTCAGTGCACTTAGTGTGCACAAAGGTCTCCCACGCACTCTGCACACTGGGTACTGTGCCAGGAGTGTTCAAGGCAGAAACGTAAATATTAACGAGAGCTGCCAGAGCTATGATTATAAAAAGATAAAAAATTAATTTCAGTGAAAAATTATATTTAATTCATTGCGTAGTCAAGATCAAAGGGAAAAATAATTTACGGTCAGTAAATATCTTTGACGGGTATGACAAAGGCGGGTTTTCCATCTCAAATTTCGTCTCTTTTGTACAAATTCTACAAAGTTATAAAACGTTATAAGCTTAGATTTTATGGGATTTATGAAAAACGCAAATTTTTGAGCTGTGCTCTAAAAATTTACACTCAGAGCTATTTTTTATAATCAGAAACTCTGGACATCTGGCGCTAAAAAAGCTGTCTGCATCTATGATCAATTTTTCTGATGACTATTTTCCATATAAGGCAAAGTCACAAAATAAACGGAAAAAAGGTGTCCTTGCTTGACATGAATGACTCTGAAGGAAATGATCCCAATTCAATTCCCAAGGCCTTTTCGTTGAAAATAAGTTATGAAGTAAGGATCTGATTTTCATTTGTCCTGGATTTTCAACTAGGCCGTGAGAGGTCATACTGTGCACTGCGTCCATTCCCTTGATGCCATATACTCATAAGAAAGTTTCAATTTAGTTTGCCTGAATTAAGTAGATTCAGGGCGCAGAAGGGGGGGGGGGGGGGAAGGAGGGAGGGTAAGGGGGAGAGGGCTGAGGAATCCACCTACCTTCACCAGTTACGTATTCTCCATCGTTAAAACTGCGCTTAGGTGATAGCTTAGACCTAAGCAGTGCCTTGAACTCCTGAACTCCTCGGACAAATGACTTGTTCACGTCTTGCTGCACCTCGTCTCTGTTAAGGTTCAACACCACTTCCGGGTCTGATGAAGGCGGAGGAAGCTTGAAAGCGTCAAACCCAGGGAAGAAGTTCAAGATACTCTCTGCCACTTGATTTGATTGGTCGCCTTTTGAAGTTGGATCGGACAAGAAAACCTAGATGCAACAAAACTAACGTCAATTGAATTGCTTCCGTATTGAAAGATGACAGCCGTACTTCAGAACTGAAAAGCAACTCTTCGTAATGAGCACTGTAGCTCGTGAGCGTGTGTTTTTCCTTCCTCTCTCTACTGTTCAATCTGTTAAAACAATGAAACTCATGCCAACGATCCTGAGTTTTCCTTAATGGCATTATCCAATAAAAGTACTGTACAGTAAAAGTGGAATTCATGCCTCAATGACATAACACTTATTAATAAGTTACCTCGAACAAATTGGCATAAAGTTATCCTTGAAAACAAACTTTATAAACCCACCCTTGTCAGGAAGTAATCCTTGATGCTGTGACAGTCCTTTGGAAGAGACAGCACAACATCTCTTAGCAGCCAGACGAAGAAGGGAAATGTTTTATGAAATTGACTTGCATCAGCTTGCAAACTTTCTCCACCAACTGGATCACTCGTTTGTGCTGACGAACGAAGCTGAATTCGCTGAGAAAGTTTCACGATGAAGCTGTGATCAATGTTAAGGATTCGAGAAAAAATGATAGAAGAAATCATCTGACTTGCATTTTAAATAGGTAGACAATACAAAGCTACCCCTCCCATATTGAAATCCAGATCTGTTAGATATCTATGCTCTTCACTGCGACGATGTCAGTGGTTCACAGTGCCTAGCTGATCTCGTGTAACAGTAATTTCTCTCTCTTTTTTTTACACTACATTTTCGTAATTCACGCACTTCGCTCGATTTGTCTCCCGAGACATTGTTGCAGGAGGTCAGAAGATCTCTTCGTAACCAATTTGATTTGCAGGACGTCATTTACAGTGACTTAGAATTGCTATTTAAATTATACAAAGAAAACACTTTTAATAGCCAGCTCGATATGAAAATTGGGCCGGAAAAAGTGGTAGAAGATTTATTATAATATAGAAATTATCCGTGTTGGCACCAACGTGGCAAAGAAAAAATATTTTCCTACCTTGAGAAAAATAATTTCATCCATTTCGTTTTCTCTTTCAAATGCTTCTTATTCGACGACTGAGCTTAAAATCTTTCGTCTTTCACATAAAAAAAAACATAATTATTTGACTTCCTCGACCTTCTGACGTAGTCGATATTTCATTTTCCGTAGAAACTCAATCAAGATGCCTTTATCTAGTCATCGGCAATACTGAAACTGAACTGAGAGTTAAAGGAGGTCATTACTCCAGATAAACATCTATTCTAAGGCCCACAAAGCAAAACCTCTGATTAAGGATACTCTAGTCCGTCAAGATCAGTTCTGGTCGGTACACCAGCAGAGTTGTAAATCAGTACCGAAGCCAGAAGAATGGTCAGTGTAAAAATACAGTGATCGTCCGATCCATCACTTGACACGGCGTCTATGCCTTCAGAGTCAAGCAAAACCACTGTGAACTCCTTTCCATTGGAGTCCTTTTCAGAAAAGAAAAAGAAAAAGAAAAATAGAACGATACCGGAAATGGAATAAAAATTTACCCGAATTTGTTTCCTTTAGCTTCCAGAAATGGAAGAATATTGCTTTTATTACCTTCTATATCAGAAACTAGATGAAATCATAATTACATTACACCATAAAGAATTGAACTAAATTGTTAATTTTAAGATGAAAATAGTTGGCAACAAATTGTAGTAGATCAAACAAAATAGTGACGAAAGAACGGACTCTGACTTAAATTCACCTCAACAATCGAATGCTATGTATTGAAACAGCCAAATTTCAGAAGACTGTAGAGAAAAACCATCATAAGTTTTGCAGGTTGTGGTGTATATCTAAAACCCAGGAACAAATGTAGATTATGTTTCTGTCAGGTCCACTCTTGCCGGCTGTGCAGGTTTGTGTCCTGACTTTCTCAATTTTCAAGCTAAAAATTTCCTGCATATCTTGCTTTGCTCCTTAATCTATTTTTCCGATTGAGTCGGTAGTTAAAGAGTTTGGGTATTTTTCGTCACCGAATCTGTTGTTCTAAAATACCTTAAACTTATCTGGAACAATCCACATCCAGATTCCCATGGTTTCCGGATCCAGAAAATGTCCAAGAGGAAACACTTCTCCCTGATCGAATGATTTACTCAAGATGTACGATTTTCCTTTGCGACAAGGACCAGCGATGGAAACCACGCATACTGGACCTGAAGAAGTAAAAGAACAGGTATTGTTGACCCTGACCCAAGTTTATTAACGAGAGACAACGATAAGAGAATACTATGACCTGCATCTAATTTCTCCTTACAATATCATCCCCGAATTACACATTAAGGTCCCGATAATAAAGGAAATGATCACGAACTAAAGAAGCTCTTGATGTTTAAACAAATTCTCCTTGTCAACACCTTAGGAAATGTCTTAGGAACAATATGGAGAATACTGAGACTAATTTATATCGGAAATATCTAAAGCGTTTTGTATTTCTTTTTTTATACTTGGTCTGGTTCGTTTCATTTTCTTCTTTCTTTTTCTTTGTTTTTCTCTTGTTGTTAAGTAGTCATCTTCGATGTGTCAATCATCTTCTCAAAATACGTTGAAACATTCAGTGATAAAGTCATGCAGTATTCTATTTAACAAATAGATTCCAAGTTGCCGTGTGTCTGTTCAGTAATAGATCACAGATGACGTCAAAATGTGGTAAGAACAAAAAAGTGGCACACGAGGCGCAGCCGAGTGTGTCACTGATGTTCTTACCACATTTTGACGTCCTCTGTGATCTCTTACTGAACAGACGCACGGCAACTTGGAATCTATTTGTTTTATATAATAAAGAATTAAAATATACAGGAAAAAATTTTAATTATGACGTCATCTATACGTCTGTCCTCCAATAGATCATAAGTGAGAACCAATCAGAATGCGTACATAACTGAGCTTATTATATAATGAATGATAAACTCTACCTTTGATGCTCTTGAGCCTCTCTATGGCTGCTTCAATAACACAAAGGCTTTCTCTGGGGCCAGTGCTCTTGCTGTACTCCCCTGTCTGTGCGTCCCATTTGCAGTTGTTCGGAAGACAAAGGGGAACTGCACATTGTTCAGACATTGCGGTTTTAAAAGAAGGTTGGTTTTAAACTTTTCTGCGAAGGAACATCAAGGTTTTTATGTCAAGTTTGGTGAGAAAATACTGAACGCATGGAAAATTTCTTTGACAATGATGTACATGAAAAAATTACCCGCCTTGGATTGGCTAAAAACGAGTTCATCCTGTAACACGAGTGCAAAGTTGTAACGCGAGGAGTGCAAAATTGTAACGCGAGGAGTGCAAAGTTGTAACGCGAGGAGTGCAAAATTGTAACGCGAGGAGTGCAAAATTGTAACACCAGTGCAAATTACCAATAGCGTGTATGCTTTTAAAATTTCGTCTTTCTTGACTCTGTGACGTTTTTTCACGTACATTAGTAGCAAGTAATAACACGATTTCTCTTGCAACTTGAGGTAATAAGCACTTGTTAATATGTCAAAGACTACAAATTGCGCTTGCCCTATGGGATCGTGCAATTTCAATTTTGTTGTCTTTGAAAAATTTACTCGTGCATATTAACACCAAATCGCACTTGACATCATGGTATTACCTATGCTGAAATGCATCAAGCTAAAAACACCTTTTAACACTTAATGTTGCACCACATTTTTCCACCTTTTAGAAATTCTTCATGCATGAGGGTTAAATAATGGAAAATTTTGGCTGAGTCATTCAAAAGACAACTAGTTAAATAAAAGCTGGCGTCGATATTTATTTATATTTATTTCGCCTTACTTAATTTATAGTCAGTTAAACCAATTCCACTTTATTTCCTTCCGTTTTGCCTCACACCAAGGAGATACCCCTGAAAATTTTCGCCTTGATTGACGGTTATACACAATAGAAGTCTCATTTTGGATTCTGTGCAACGGCTTATGAGACTGTAGGCTGCGAAAGTACCTTAAACGTGATATCATGAAATATCTGTAGGCATAGTTTCTTGGTGATAAATATAAATGTTTTCAGACGTCGAGTCAACATTGTATATCAGGTGTGTTTATACCGTCACTAGCCTGGAGTTAATAATGGTATATTATGCCATCAAATGAGACTGAAAAAATGAAATGAGTAGAAGTTAGCTTTCAGTTTCCAACTTTTGACGTTAAAATAAGTGAGTTAAATATACTTAGACACTAACTGTTTCTTTTCTCTAAAATTTAAATGATAGGGCTTGACGTCTTTAAGGAAAGGTCAATTATATAATTTATCTTTTCGTTTCCAAACCAGAAACTCTGAAAACGAAGCAAACCGTGGTTATATTCACATAATCAAAATCTACGTTGGATTCAAAGCTAATTAAGTGCCGCCTTCGCTAAGAGCGGTCCTCTCGACTTCCCGTCGAAAAAAGGTTTTCTTTTATTTTTTGCCAATGAAAAGGGTTTAGGACAAGAGTCTTTTTGCGTTGCCACAAGCCAAAAATGATTTTTAGGCTAGACCACCTGTGTGGACAGCGATTGAAAATGTAAAGGACACACTTTAACAAATGACGATTCTAATTCGTTACATTAACTAATTTTGGTTTCACTTTTTACAACCCGCGAAACAGGTCATAAGACAACGGGAAAAATAAGCATAATAACGTCACGCAATACATCAAGCTGGGTTTGTCCAATTGATTTTGATGGTCGCAAGGAAATGTTGAGTTTGTCGCTCAAAACCGTTGTGGTCCATAACAGCGTAAAATAATTAATGATGTGAACAAATTTTCAGAAAGGAGGGCTGATTCATTGCGTTCCGTGTGCTAAATCTCGGGAGAAACTGCAAGAATTATTGCAGAGTGTATGCGTGTTGTTTTGTAAATAAGACTGTAACGTATTTTAACTTGTTTGTATGTCCTTTAAGCTACGCGATATGTCTGTAATGACCAGAGCACCACATCTTATTCTTAAATTTTGATCTTCTCCACACTGTGTGTAGTTCATGACCTGATATTTCAACGAAGATTATCGAGAAGGCGCTTTACGATCACCCTTGTTTACTTTGTAAGTCACGCAAGCGTTCAAGCGTTACGACCGATCACGTTTGCGCAACGTTTAAGGACAACTCGGCATATACGGCATGTATTCTCCATTCAGTTGTTATGAAAACCTAAGATCCTCAACGCAGAAGATAAGCAAACGAAGTTTGAACGGTGCAAAGGAGATCTTGGTCAATTTTTAGAATTATGCAAATAATCTTTGACATGAGCGCAATTGAGCAAACACATGGATTTGCGTTGTTTTTAAGAAGTTGGTGGATGAAAGTTAATGATATTCCCGCGTGTTTGAGGCAATCGGTGACCTTATTGGTGTATAAAATATGCGCAGACATGCTTTTTTAGCCCGATTAACGCCTGCATTTGAAAATTCTTTCGTACAAATTGGTGAATTTTTGATACGCAAATTAAGGTCGAAGAGAAGGGTCTCCCCCACGCTAGTATGAAAAATATTTCAGGTGAAGTTTCCATATTTTGTCTGTGAACTAACTGAATACATCTTGTAACCTGTAGCAAGATAGAATTCCGTGAGCCATACTATTACAGTCGCTATGCGCTCGACAAAATCTGTGAAATTTATACTTTTGTTGGGGCGACGCGAAGAACAACTAAACAATTTTTAAATATATGTCCTAACCCCTTTTCATGGGCAAAAAATAAAAGAAAACTTTTTTTTCGACGATAGGTCGAGGAGACCGCTCATAGTGAGAGCGGCACTTACGCATCGAAAAACTGTTTCTGAGAATAAGTGAAGCAATTAAAAACGGCCTAAATACGTACAAGTGTTTGTTTTCTTAGCGATTTCTAAGTAAAACGAAAACTGTGTATTTTTTTTTCATTGCTGCGATAAACAATGACCGAAAATTGTCAAATTGACTCGAATCAATGATGCAAAGATATCCTTATGGGATTCATTTGTCCTAATCTAATCTATTTTGTTGTTTGCAAGAGTTACGTGAGATCAAGCCGAAAGCAGTGACAAGGACATAAATGAAAATCTATACGAAGTTTTGCGTGACAGATCTTTTAGGCGGTTAATGTTATGTTTTGGTTTCTCGGAAGCTTTTCAGGTTTTGGGAATTGAATCGACTGGATTTCTCGAGAGGATAAGAGGTAACTGAATACAACTTTGTTGCACTAGATTTTGAAATTTTCTTTAGCGATCGATCCATTTAAAGCGTACTTTTTAAGGTATATCTGAGACTTACATCTATCTTGAAGAACAGTACTTGATATTAATTCGAAGAAAGAAGAAAAGTAGATAATTTCAGTTTCTTCGAACCATATCTCATGATTTTTATGAGATTTATATCCTGCTAAAGGGGTCTGTGCCGGCATTTTACATCCGTAATTTACTCACGGAGGAAATTATAAATCTAGATGATTGCAAGAGAGGTTTAATTGCAAACGGCCGTTATAGTGTTTATGTACCTCAAGTTGATTTTCACTTCGCCACTCATTTGCACTCGTCGCGGTTAGAAAAAGGTAGTCTTCACGACTCTAGTCAGATTTTCAAGTAATTTTGACCATATTAAACCTTGGACGACTCCTTTTAATACTTTTACTCCAACACACTTCGCGGAAGCATTAAGGTTTAAGAAGCAAGTCACATTGGTGAGCCTCAACTTACCTTGGTTTACTCGTCGATACAGCAACGAATCCTATGACACGCTTCGGGAGTTTCTTGCTGTAAAATGAT